GTCCGCATCACTATCGATAGTTCGATAGAGTCGACAAGATTCAATCAATAAAAGAGAAATGACCCCACCCCGAAGATGGCCGTGTTGAATGTAAATATCAACCGGAGGGGTTCCTAAATATTTTGAAATGTCTGCCAAATATCCAAAATCCATTCCAAACATTTCAAATGCCTTTCAAACTCCACTCAAATACCCATAAAAATCCAAAAATCCACCAAAAATATCAAAATTCCAAAAAAATATTAAAAATGAAAAATCAACCATCAAATTACTTAAAGCAAAAATTCATCCGTCATTCGCAATAGTTTGCCGAGGTGGACAAAAATAAAAACTACTCTAGCTCACAAAGAGTCAAATGCCTAGTCGAAAATATCATTAGGATCCATTCTCAAAACACTCTCCTGCCAGTAAGGACGTGGTACGTATTCTCTTACCGGCGGTTTGCCGCCAAATGGCACCGCAGGATAAAAGGTGATGACCCGAAGCCCTCTGAACCGAGTGGTTTTGCCGCCAAATGGCACCACGAAATACCGGTTATGGCCAGCGTCATTACGTTCCTTATTGGCATCAAATTTTTGAGAAATGAATCAATAGGATATGATTGATAGGGCACAAAGCCCTATGTTAGCTAAGGTGAATTTAAATTTGTCCCCTTAGGCAAATACCCATCCCAGGTCTACAAGGTACCCTTGGACGAAGAAACCCATGGCTGCCAACAAGAATCCTTCTGTCAGGTTGGGTCGAATACCTCCTCTGACTAAGTAGACCAGGGACCACGATGGCCCGGGACGACAGAACCATGCGATCTTGATTGGGTCTATCATCCATTCCCCCACCATCCGCTTTAAGTGCAAGATGGTGAAATTTCTATTTTAAATATTTCAAATTTTTCTATTTCCCAAATTCCCAAACTTCCAAACATTTTAAATATCCAAACCCATTGCTGCTACTATATGCCAGATAACACGTATTTCTATACGTATCTGATTGACGACTAGCCTTAATCGAAAGTTCTCTCTCCTGATCGGGAGGAGTAATTAACTATAGGGGCTTGCGCCTATAGGAAACCAGAACTCAAATCATAAAGTCCTCGCAAAATGAGGGCGAAATCTCTAGGTAGTGTCTTATCTACAAACCCATCTTCCTTCCAAAGTTTACCTCGGAACTTATTCAGTTAAAACTCCCTCGCCGAATAAAAAGAAAAGCGGGCGGAGGCCGGGGCCGAATTTTCAGAGCCCACACATCAAATCTCAATGAAGGAGGAAGATATTAAGAAGACAGCTTTTTGAACACACGAAGGACATTACGAATTCTTAGTAATGCCATTTGGGCTTACGAATGCCCTTGCAACCTTATAGACGTTAATGAATCGAATATTAAAGCCATACCTCAGAAAATATATCTTAGTCTTCTTTGACGACATACTGGTGTACAGCCAAATCACAGAGGAGCATTCATAGCACTTAAGGGTAGTATTTGGAATACTACAGGAACATTAGCTCAAGGAAAACCTCAAGAAATGCAGTTTCTTGCAAACAAAGGTAGAGTACTTGGGGCACGTGGTCTCTCAAGAGGGGGTGGAAGCCGAGTCTACCAAAATTGAAGCTATGCAAAAAATGGCCTATACCAAGGAACTTAAGAGAGCTTAGGGGGTTCCTATGACTCACAGACTACTACTGGAGGTTTGTCAAAGGATACATTACCATAGCAAAGCCCCTAACCGAGCAACTAAACAAGGACAACTTCTTGTGGGGAGAAGAGGCAACAGATGCCTTTGAGAAATTCAAGGAAGCTATGACGACAGTCCCGGTATTAGCTCTTCCTGATTTCATCCAGATTTTTGTAGTGGAGACCGATGCATCCGGGTATGGTTTGTGATCAGCCCTCATGCGAAGCCATAGGCCTATAGCATATTTCATCCATGCCCTGTCAACCAGAGCACGGCTAAAGTCAGTATATAAAAGAAAGTTAATGGCAATTATTCTGGCCATCCAGAAATGGCGACCCTACCTCTTAGGAAGGAACTTCATCGTAAGAACAGATCAGAACAAAGAATAGTGACCGAGGAACATCAGAGGTGGTTCTCCAAACTCCTTGGCTACGGCTTTGAGATCAAATATAGGCCAGGTTTGGAAAGTAAAGCCGCAGACGCTCTATCAAGATGTGTGGGGGAATTACAAGGGATAGCAGTCTCGGTACCACTAATAATGGATTAGGAGGCAATCAAGGAAGAAAGTTTGAGGGATGAAGGATTAAGGCGGATCCGAGAAGATTTGGTGCGAGATCCAGGCAGCCATCCCGGATACTCACTCGAGGGAGGGAGACTTTTACATCAAGGGAAATTTGTATTGCCAAAGTCTTTTATCCACATTCCAAATCTGCTACAAGAAGTCCACGGAAGTGCAGTAAGAGGCCACTCAGGGGTACAGAAGACATACCGAAGGTTAGCAGCCGAATTATATTGGAAGGGGATGCACAAAGATGTGGAGGATATGGTAACCAGATGTGAGATATGCCAGCGAAACAAGTACTTGGCAATGGTTCCAGGAGGACTGCTACAACCTTTGACACTTCCAAACAAGGTTTGGGAGGAAGTGTCTATGAACTTTATAGATGGTCTACCTCGATCCGAAGGGTTCACAGTCATCATGGTAGTAGTAGACAGACTCAGCAAGTACACACACTTCATTCCTCTTAGGGACCCCTACACCGCCATAATAGTGGCAGCCACTTTCATCAGGGATATAGTTAGATTACATATTTACATGGAATACTAAAGGTCATAGTATCAGATAGAGACAAGTATTTCTCAGCCATTTCTGGAGAGAACTGTTCAGGCTACAAGGAACACTTCTCAAAAGGAGCACTGTCTACCACCCACAAACAGATGGCCAGATCGAAGTAGTTAATAGAAGCCTAGAGACCTATCTGAGATGTTTCGTATCAGAAAAACCTAAGATATGGGCTCTATCATGGGCAGAATATTGGTACAATACCTCTTATCATTCTGCTTCTCAGATGACTCCTTTCAAGGTGTTGTACGGAAGGGACCCTCCTCGCTTGGCCCAGTGGAAGTTGCACCACTCCCATCTCTTCTGTAGAGGAGTACTTGGAGGAAAGAGATAAAATTTTAGCAAAATTAAAGGAGCACCTTCTAAGGGCCCAACAGATTATGAAGCAACAAGCAGATGGGCATAGGAAGGAAGTCCAATTCGAGATCGGGGAAAAGGATTTTCTTAAGCTTCGACCTTACCGACAGAACACAGTGGCCAATAGAAGAAACGAGAAGCTTGCTCCAAGATACTATGGGCCTATGAAATCTTGGAGAAAATTGGGGCAGTAGCATATTGGCTAAAGTTACCAACCACGACTACTATACACCCATTTTTTCATGTATCTCAGTTAAAAAGAGCGATTGGAGATTGTTCAAGCGGATATGAATTACTAGTCACCTTAACAGAAGATCTAGAAATAAGTTTGGAACCCTGTGAATTACAAGGGGTGCGCCAAGGAGATGGAGGATTCAAAGAGATGTTAATCAAGTAGAAAGAGCTTCCAGATTATGAAGCAACCTGGGAGCCTTCAAAAGTTCTCTTCCTTCCACCTTAAGGACAAGGTGGTTCTTTGGGAAAGCGGTATTGATAGGTCGGTGCAAGCCAAACTGACCTAGGGAGGCTCATTTCCTCCCGAACCGACCCAGCCGGCCCCACCTGGCCGACACAAGTTTACAAGAGGCGGTGCAAACCGCCTCCCTTGGGTGGCCGCCTAACATTATGGCCCATGCCTATTTGATTTAATTAAACAACTTGTATTTTGGGAAGGAGGTGCCTAATTGCCTATTTGATTTTATTGTATTTTGGGAAGGAGGTGCAAGCTTATTTGATTTAATAAAAAATATATTTTTAGTAAGAGAGAGAGAGGGGGGGGGGGGGTTAGGGCTAGGTTGAAGGCTATAAATAGGGAAGAGGAGGAAGGGGTGAAGGCATGCTTAGATTGATGTTCTCTTGGAGTCTCTTGAAGTTTGGGGGCTCTAGACCTAGCGTCTAGAGATTTGGAGAGAATGATCCTTCTCTCGAATAGAGGATCACTTGTATCTTTGCTTATGTTTTTTGCTTTGAATTTTCAATAAAGTTCTACTTTGGTTTTCTTGTCCGATCTTGGTTATTACGCTGTTTTGATCTAATTTGTATTAGGGTTACTTGTGAACTCAAGTAGATCCGATAGGATTACTTGCGAACTCAAGTATTTCCTATCAGTCAACTCAAGGGTTTGTAAACATCCAACAAATCAAACTTATAAATAAATTCTTCAAATGAAGGTTTAGCAAATCGTTTGATCACGATATCAGCAATCTGATAGGAGGGAATATTACATTTAGTAGGTTATGATATAATAATATGTTGTACTATATAAATTTCGTTTATTGATAGGATATGTTTATTTCTTCCCTATTTTCTCCCTTTAACCTCTATATACAGGTCCTGTTTTTTATCAATATTGAGCATGCATTCCACTATTCTTTCTTCCTATTTTTCTAATACTTGATTTTTTTTCTTATGATAATATAAGATGAAATTAAGAAAGGCCATCCAGTAATATTGGTGACTAAGTCATTGATTGAAGCAAATCAATCAGCAACTAAAAATGACAATGTCAAAAAGGCAATGTGTTACACACATACATGATCATGAGTATATTTATACATGTACATAACTATGTACAAAGAATATATGTTCAAACATGCATTAATAACTCTTCGTATGTTCAAACATGCATTAATAACTCTTCGTGTTTAAAAGTATTAATTAGCAACACATGTATAAATATATGTGTTAATTAGAAACATGCGAATGCATATATGCGCTAATTAAAAAGAAGTGTATACATACAGGCATGATGCGTTTTTCACTGTGTTTTATTCTTTTGTTACGAGGAAGATAAGTGGAGTAGAAAGGTGCTGTCCATATTAAAAATAAATAAATAAAATAGATGTGACATACTAATTGTATGCAAAATTAAACAACTTATTCTTCAAAAATCCTCCAGCGCGTATCTTCTCTTGCAAACCTGGAAATTGAAAAAGAGAAATAGAGTAACATTCTTTGAAGGTAAATGAGGAAACCAAAAAGAGTTAAACGAAACACCAGTTAAGAACAATAAAGAACTTTATGTTAGAACTAAATTGAGTTTTACCAACAAACTGAAAGAACTCACTCTCTTGCGCAGTTTATTTAAATTGTTAAAAGTTCTAGAGAATGTGGAAAAAAAAACTAAAAGATTGCAATGGTTTAATGTTTCCAGATACTCAGAATGGTAGGAAATTAAATCCACATTGATCAAACTTTCCACTTGTCACTCAGAGGGAGTGGGTGAATCCGAACAGTATTCATCGCTAGGTTTCGTTCCACAAATTTTTTATTTTTATTGTTTTTCTATATGCTACATCAACACTTATCTCTAAACCTTTTTTTTGAGTTTTACCATCTAAGAAGGGCGTGATAGACAAGAATGTCAAATTACATATTTTCTTAGTTTTTCCATCAAACTTTAGTACTTGGGATGAAAAAGGCAATAATTCTATATGTAATTCATTTATTTCTCCTGCAGGCAATGATAGAAAAATAAATCCGGAGAGGATAATACTGTGGCGAAGGTGCAAATAAGAAGTGAAAAATAAAAGTAGCAGTGAAATTCTATTCCTAAAAGTAAAAATGTATGGCAATAGAAGAAGAAAGCATTAGATGGCCACGTGCTAAATGAAAAGATGAGAGACAAAAGCGGATAGTTTCAATAAATGTTGGCAGAGGTAGCAATTCAGGACAAAAATGAGAAACCTATAGGCAAGTTTCCTAAGATTTTAAGATGCCTACATGAAAATCACATTATTAATGTTTTGAAGAAGTAAGAGACGTTTTTGGATTTTCAATAAGCCACAATTAAGTGAGCGAGCAATTTTTACTCAATGAACATGAAAAAATATTTCATAAACTTTAAACCATAACAGTTGTTAAAATCAACTTATTTGAAACATGTAAAATGCTGGACGGTTTTCGTAGACGAATGCATCATAGAGATCAACATTAATGATAGTATAAATTAGGGCAACAAATGAATTGAGTCAGTGGTTGTTCAGGCTCTACCTTGATTACCCAAAGCCTTCGAGCTCGGTTTGACCTTAATTCAACCTTTTATAATAATGTTGAGGCTTGACTCATTTAAATACATATTTTCTCAAGCTTGGCTTGAACTTGCTCGAACTTCATTTGTTTTGAGCTTATCGAGCAGCTCATTTAGAATTATAAATGATCCTTATCAAGAAAAACTTATAGAGCTTAAAATATTAAAATTTTTAAAAGCAATATTTATTTTTATTTAATCTTTTGAAAAAAAATTAATATTCATTGGAAGCTTATGTAGATCGATTCAACAAGGATACATGTCTAGCAACTCACGCACCTTAGCTTGCTACTAGTGACATGCGCTTTGTACTATATAAACACTAATACTTGAAAACTAAGCTCTAATGTGAGACTACAAAACTATATGAAAACTGGATAGAGACTTAAGCTGTGAAATTGAACAGTAAAATCAGACCGCTGAAATGAGTATTACAAAAGTTTTTTATATTATAAATTTTATATTTTATTATAAACTATAGTTATATTATAATTTTTTATTTTTTAAAGCATTTAATAAGTATACACACACATTTATAATATATTATATTTATATAGACATTAATGATTAATCAAGCTTTATATCAAACCATAATCGAGATTGTTCACAAGCTTTAAATAATATCATTATGATCATAAACAAATCAAAAAATGAGCTATTCAAGTATTTTTATTTAAAAACTGAGTAATTATTAAATTTTCAAGCTTATTCGATAAGTCAATTGAGTGATCATGAACGAGCTCTAATCGAGTCGATTCACAAGTAGCTTATTGAATGCTCATTTCATTTGTAGCCCTAGTATGAATAAAAAAATATAATAAGGGATTCAGAGAGAAATGATATTTAGAAGATTCTGACAAGGTGATATTATTACAAGCCATCAACTACAATAACCTAATATTTCAAAGCAACACTTTTAATTTTTGTTTAAAGCATACCTAAGTCCTTTGGAAGGAGCATAGTTGTCCCAAACCTAGAAGAAAAAACATGAAGTGTTGACATGAAGTTTGCATCCTAACACACAAAATAGGGTATAAATCCTAATTTTGTAATATGTTGTATTTGCAATATGTGGGATTATAATAGTAAGCAATTATCACTAATGTATTGATGTAGTTCTTAACATATTTTATAATTATTTTATGCGTTGCATATGTAATAAGGACACATTATACATTTCCTTATTATTCTTAAGCAACTTTTGAATTTATTGAGAACCCTACAGGGTGTAAGTTTGTATAGAGTAGTTGAAGAATACTACAATCAAAGCAAGATAGCTTCAAAACTACTCTCCTCTTACTCCTTCAGGATGTGTTCCCACTTTTTATATCACCCTTGGAGTTATGTAATAATATTCTCCTCTAACTCATTTAGGACATATTCCCACTCTTTAGGATGTGTTCCACCTTTTTCTGTATCTTACTTAGAGTTGTGAATCATTTTCAAGTTATTTCTAAAACACATTATAACATGATTTTGCCTGCTGCTACTTGCATCATTTGGCATCTGAGCCCACCATCATTTAAATGGCAAAATCTATGCATGGAACAAAGGAAGGTATATAAACTTAAGATCTATTTTCAAGTGCATCCCCGTCGAAGCATCTTCTCTTTAGTAAAGTTTAACTCTTCAATCCACTCTCAATGTAGCAAGTTCTCTCCTTCCCCCTAGTTCCTCTCACAATTTGCTTTTTTAATGAATCAATATAAATTTCTTAAAATTTATTTGTTTTCAAGGTTGCAATTCTAAATCAATATTTGTAAGGAAAAGAATAAATTGTTACTAGAAAACTAGTTCCTACATGTTGTTTTCTACTTTCTTTCATGCGCCGATTGTTGTAATTTTTTGCAACAGATCCATGAGCTCTTTGTGCGTAAAAGGTCTTGTAGGCATTGCTTCATATTTCCTATGAGTTTTTTTTCTTAGACTCACTGCTGAAAATTTTAAAAACAGAAAAATTTTGAGGCAAGAAATCTTAGGTTCTAAAGTTTCATAATGCAAATCTAGAATGTGAAACACAAAATTATGCACACAAGTTCCAGTATGTAGTTCATTGGCTTCAAAATTAAATAGTTATTCATCACTTAAGATGGAAACAAAAAAATATTCATAAATTTAACAAAAATGATAAATCACCAGGAACCATGGTTTAAAATTGCGCAATAAGAGGCGCGCCTCAGCGCAATTTCACCCCTTTAAGCCTCAAAGCTCACGCAATGAGTTCAGGATTTGAGGCGTATGCCTCAAGTTTAGTGAGGCGTGCCTCGCCTCACGGTTGAGAAGCATTCGCCTATAAAAATAAAAAAAAAACTAACCTAATATATATTTGTTCGGTTCGGACCTCCTAACCCCCGCGCGGTCTTCCGTAATTTCCCGAAAACAAGTTTTCTCCCTTCTTCTTTGAGCTACCTTTTTCTCTCTTCGTTCAGCGTCGTCTTGCTTCCACCGTGAATTGCTCTTCACCAATTGCTTGGAGTAATCTTCTACCGCGAGTTGGGTTGGAGTCTCCCTCGACCAACAGGTGAAAGCTCTTCTTCTTCGTGGTTCCATCTTCTTCTCGGTATCGCTAGGTACATGATCGGTATCACTAGGTACATGCTCAGTACCACTCGGTACAACAATGTTTGGTACCACTAGGTACATACTCGGTACCGCTCAGTACATACTCGGTATCTTTCAGTATTGAGCATGTAAATACTCGGTACCGCTTAGTACATGCTCAGTATCAAATAACTTACGAACTTTAAAAACAAGCATAAATACAAAATTACTCTTATAATAAAAATTTGTTCTGGGGGCGCTGCCCCCGAAAACCCCCATAGGGGTGCTGCCCCTTGAACCCCACCAACCCCGACAGACTGGTATATTGTTGTGTTCATCATCTTTAGTAATAGTTGTTAGTGAGTGCATTGTGTTTAGGGATTCAATATATTGCACTAATATATTCTTCTCATAAAGGATGGTCAGAAGTAATGATAAAGCTACATCATGTCATAGAAAAGATCCAGCATTGAAACATAGCACTCAGGTGGATGTAGGGGGAAGTGATTGTGAAGGGTGGTGTGACTAGGATGAAGGATCATCTTTCAGGGACTCACAAGAAAAGTTCCTGATACTATAAGAAAGGAGATCAAGTCATACATGAATAAGTCTACCACGCCAACACATCTTGCACAAAAGCAATTTGAGGACAGAGTTGATGTTGGCTCTTACTACGGGAGTGAGCGCAGCATTAGGGATTCATCTTCTTCGATGAAGCCCATTTTATCTAGGGGTTCTAGAGGGCCTATGGATCATTATATGGTGGACACATTAAAGGATAGGCCTCCTACTACACAGAAGATGGCCCCATAAAAAGAAAGAGAGGCACGGAGAAGAGTGTTTAAGGATATAGACAGATTCTTTTACGAAAATGCAATTCCATTTAATATTGTAGCATCACCTGTCTATTACAGCATGATTCATTCAGTTGGAGCATTTGGAGAGGGTTCAAACCTCCAACCATGTATGATTTGAGAACATGAATTTTGAAAGAGTTGGAAAGCACTAATAAAAGCATCGAAAAAATTAAGAGGACTTAGGCCCAAACATGAGTAACAATTATGTTATATGGGTGGTCTGATATCAAACATAGAATTCTGATCAACATTCTCATTAATAATCTTTATGGTACTGTGTTTTTAAGGTCAATTGAAGCATCTGACCAGGTCAAATATGTTGAGTTCATATTTGAATTATTAGATAGCATTGTTGAGGAGGTTGGAGAACATTTGGTTGTACAAGTTGTGACAGATAATGCAAGTTCTTACAAGGCTGTAGGTAACAAACTTATTGAGAAAAGGAAACATCTGTATTGGACTCCATATGTTGCACATTGCATATATCTTATT